TTTGTAAGAAGCTCTGGTAGCACAGTGCCTAAGGCATCTGACTGCTAACCAGAAGGTTGGTGGTTCGAACCCATGAGCCACTCCATGAAAGCAAGACTAGGCAATCTACTTCTATAAAGATTTACCACCTTGGAAACCCAATGGGTGTTGCTATGAGTTGGAATCAACTTGATAGCAGTGTTTTTTTTTTTTTTAAATATTATTTGTAATACAAACAAACAAAAAAGCAACAGAATTGATAACTCAAGTGTATAAAGCACTGTTTGACACTGATGCTATCAGCTGTAAAAATGTATATAAAATATGGTTCTGCTAAAGTATCTTACAAAGATTTTGTCTTAGTTTGGCTCTCCTAAAATGTGAAGGTAATGGTATTAAGCTTCAAATAAAGAATAGAAGGCAGAGAACCTCAGAGAAAATTCATATAAATTACGTACCTCATAGCAGTACTGTTGAACTTTATGCAAAACTTTGTTTAGGTCCTTGTTCAGCTGTTCAAGTTCTAGAACAATGGTTGCATATCTCCGCTGAAATTCAATGCTGATGGGCATGGAATATGATTTCTGAGAAGAAAAAAAATAAATCAGATTTTGATAAGGTTTTTTGAGTTAATATAACTTTCAATGACCTAACAAGAAATTTATCAGCCACAAACTTAAGATTATTAAAACTGTCTACACTCAATGTTCTTGTGTATGATAATGAACATACTGTCTTTTAGGAGATGGTCCTTGCTCCTAGAAGTGTAGTGATGCCTGACATTCAATTAAAATGCTTTTTGGCACATGGATCCTGCATTTCACTGAGTCTTCATCTCAGTGGCCTGCTATGTTGTTTGTGGATCTTGAGACTATTTCTGGACATGAAATAGTGGCCTGCCGTGTGTTGCTTTATAACTTTAGGACTCTGCCATTTTACTTGTCAGTCTCAGCAAAAATACAACATTGAGTTAGGACTGCATGAATAAGGTGAAATATAAAGTCAGATACTATTAAACTGAATCATATGAAATAATTTAATATCTAATACAACTTTTAGTTAAAAACAAGGTGTGAACACAAGTGAGTATTTTCTTGTGTGGGTTATAAACTGATGCTAAGGATGTGCACTTGGGGGATAGGATGTGAAATACTAGATTCAGTAACAGCTTGTGTAAAGGGTGTGTGGAAGTTTTTAGTTGGCCATAATTTTAATAAATCAATATTGTGAAAATCAATACTGTCATTTTATACTGCAATTATACAGTGCCCAGAACTGGATAATAGATCTATTGTATTAGTCTGACCTGCTCTGCAATCTACTTATTCAGTCTTAATGCTGAGCAAATAATCTGAGAAACTGGACTATATGAAGAGTACGTGGCATTAGGATTGGAGGAAGACTCATTAACAACCTGCAACATGCAGATTATACAACCTCACTTGCTGAAAGTGAAGACGACTTTGAAACACTTACTGATGGAGATCAAAGACTACACCTCAACATAAAGAAAACAAAAATTCTCACAAATGGACCAATAAGCAATATTATGATGACTGGAGAGAAAATTGAAGTTGTCACAGATTTCATTTTACTTGGTGTTCTGGTTACCTAATGCCGCTCTGACAGGAATATACCACAAATGGGATGGCTTTAACAAGCAGGAGTTTATTTTCATACAGTTTGGAGGCTTTAAGTCTGAGTTTAAAGTGCTAGGTTGTAGGGGCTGTGTGAAGGCCTCTCGACCTTGGGCTTCAGCTCTGCCTCTTCTTCCCAGCCCACTGAAGCTGGAGGCATCTCTTCACTCTGGCAGCTATTGGCTGCTGAGGCTGACAAGCCCAAGGTCAACAAATAAAATGGCACAGTCTCATTGTTACCGAACAACAAGGCAGGCCATTGATTCAAGTCCAGATGAAGTCCCAAGATTGGTAGGGGATGGCAGGTTGTTGAACAATGACTTGGCTATATGCAGAGTTCAAACATACCAAAAGGCTGGAAACTATTCCCAAAGCTGTTTCTTATATACGGGATGCAGACCACATCCCTAAAGCAACTACTCAGCTGCTCAGAGTAGACTCCACCATGGACCAGTCTCATCAAGGGGAATACTATATCCAGCTGCCCAGCCACTCAACCAAGCCCAGCCAAGTTGACACACAACCTTAACTATCATATTTGAATCCACAATCAATGCCCATGGAAGTACAATCAAGAAATCAAACAATGTATCACATTGGGCAAATCTGCCGCAAAAGACCTCCTCAAAGTGTTTAAGAGCAAAGATGTCTTTGAAGGCTAAGGTGTGCCTGACCCAAGCTATGGTATTTTCAAGATTCATAAGCATATGAGAATGTATTCATATTTGAATAAGGAAGACCTCAGAAGAACAGATGCATTTGAATTGTGGTGTTGGTGAAGAATACTGAATGCACCATTGCGGTAGTTAAGTTTGTGTGTCAACTTGGCTGGGCCTGGTTGAGTGGCTGGGCAGCTGATGGTAGTTATTCCCCATGGTGAGATTGGTAATTAACTCCATTGTTGGTGGTGTTGTTATGTGCCGTGGAGTCAGACCTGACTCATAGTAACCCCTCCTTGGGTTTCTGAGGCAGTATCTCTAAGGAAGTGGATTGCCCAACCTTCCTTCTGAGGAGTGGCTGATGGGTTTGAACCGCCAGCCTTCTAGTTAGCAGTCAAGTGGCTTAGGCACTATGCTACCAGAGTTCCTCCATGATGGACTCTATTGGAGCAGCTGAGTAGCTGCTTTGGGTATGTGGTCTGCTTTCCATATATAAGAAACAGCTTTGGAAATTATCTCTAGCTTATGGCATACTTGAACCCTGCATGTAGCCATGTTGTTGTTCAGCATCCTGCCATGCTCTGCCGACCTTGGGACTTTCAACTGACTTGAATTAATGGCCTGCCATGTGGTTTGGTAACATCAGGATTGTGCCTTTTTACTCGTCAACCTTGGGCTTGTCAGTCTCAGCAGCCAGCAGCCGAGTGAAGAAAAGCCTCCAGCTTCTGTGGGCCAGGAGCAGGAAACAGAGATAAAGCCAAGATTGAGGGGCTTTCACTCAGCCCCTAGAGCCTGGCACTTTGAACTCAGACTTAAAGCCTCTAAACTCTAAGAGCAGCACTCCTGTTTGTTAAGGCCATCCTATTTGTGGTATATTCTTGTCAGAGTGGTACTAGGTAACCAAAACAACCATGAACTGCTAGAAGAATAACAAATTTGTCTTAGAGGAAGTATAGCTGGAATGCTCTTTTGAAGCAAGAAAGGCCAGACTTCATCTCCTGTGCTTCGGCTGTCAGAAGGAACCAGTCCCTGGAGAAGGATATCATGCTTGCTAAAGTAGAGGGTCAGTGAAAAAAGGAAAGACCTTCAATGAGATGGATTCACACAGTGGCTGTGATGACGGGCTTAAGCATGGCAATGATTCTGAGGATGGCACAAGACTGGGCAGTGTTTCATTCATCTGTACAAAGGGTCACAATGAGTTGAAACTGACTTTACAGCACCTAACAACAACTATAACACAATTATATCCAATTGTAGGCTTCACATTTTAAAAGGAGCAAACCAGAATAACACCCAAAGGAGGGGAAGCAAAACTGTATGGGGATCCAAAATGTAGTATATATTGTATACTGTAATATAAACAAAGCTCAAAGAATAAGGATATTCTAAAATAGATTAAATTATTTATTATAGAAGTTGTGCATGGATATACTGTCATTGTGAGACATGAATCAAACAACATAAAAATCTACAGAGCAAAATAAAAAAGTCCCTCATTACTTACATATGCCTGCCCCGCACTGTCCTTCCAAGGTAGCCACTACCAATAGTTTGTGGTGCAGCTTCCCAGTCAGTCACCTTTTCAAAATGTACAGCTTTTATTAAAAATGGGATCCTATTGTAAATCTTGTTCTATAGTTTGTTCCATTAATGTGCCCATGCTGACATAGATAGATCTAACTCTTTCCTTTTAACAACTACATACTATTCCTACAGAATGGCTATACCATGGTTTTTTTCACCAGGCCTCTTTAGATAGTTATTTAAATGATTTCCAATTTTTAACTGTTATAAACAATGCTGCAATAAATACCCCTGTATGTCTATTTTTGTGCACATGATTATTTCTCCAGAATGCAACACTAGAAGACTTGGCTCAAAGGAAAGATGCATCAACATGGCCGAAGTAGCTTCCAAAAAGACTTTAATAGCTCATTTGCCTACCAACTATGTACAAATATGCCCACTTCCTCACACGCTAAACAATACTTTATTTGAAATATTTACAAATTTGATGGGCAAACTATTTAGTCTGAAAAGGAATAGAAAATGGAAGAGGTATAAGTTGTCTTCTAATACTTTAATAGTTACCACACAGAAAATGTAGCAGACATGTTAATATGGCTTATGTGGTAGTTGATAGTTGTTGTTAGGTGCCATCGAGTTGCCTCCAACTCACAGTGACCCTATGCACAACAGAATGAAACACTGCCTGGTCCTATGCCAGCCTCATATCTGAGCCGATCGTTGCAACCACTGTGTCGATCCACCTCATTGAGGGCTTTCCCTTTTTTTTTGGTCAACCCTCCACTTTACCAAGCATATCCTTCTCCAGGGACTGTCCCTTTGGACAACAGACCAAAGTAGGTGAGATAAAGTCTGGCCATTCTCACTTCCAAGGAGCATTCTGGCTATACTTCTTCCAGGACAGATTTGTTAGTTCTTTTAGCAGGCCATGGTACTCTCAGTATTCTTCTCCAATACCACCACTCAAAAGCATCAATTCTTCTTCAGTCTTCCTTATTCATTGTCCAGCTCCCACATGCATATGAGGCGATTGAAAATACCATGTCCTGTGTCAGGCGCACCTTAGTCCTCAAGGAAACATCTTTGCTCTTCAGCACTTGAAAGAGGTCCTGTGTAGCCAATTTGCACAGTGCTATAAGAGCTCTGGTAGCATAGTGCCTAAGGCACTTGACTGCTAACCAGAAGGCTGGTGGTTCAAACCCACCAGCCATTCCTCGGAAGGAAGGCTGGGTGATCTACTACCGTACTGATATCACCTTGGAAACTCAAGAAGGGGTCACTATGAGTCAGAGCCGACTCGACAGCACATAACATCAACAACATACATCGTCTGATGTGTGGACTGCTGCTTCCATTGGTGTCGATTGTAGAACCACACAATGTGAAGTCCTTGACAACCTCACTCTTTTCTCCATTTATCATGATGCTGCTTATAGGTCCAGTTGTGAGGATTTTTGTTTTCTTTATATTGAGATGTAATCCATACTGCAGACTATATTCTTCAATCTTCATCAGTATGTGCTTCAGGTCATCCTCTTTCAGCAAGCAAAGTTGTGTCATGAGCATATAGCACACTGTTAATGATTCTTCCTCCAATCCTAATGCCATGTTCTTCTTCATATAGTCCAGCTTCTTGGCTTACTTGCTCAAGATTGAATAAGTATGGTGAAAGGATACAACTCTGACACACTCCCTTCTTGCTTTTAAACTATGCAGTGTTCCCTCGTTCTATTTGAACGACAGCCTCCTGGTCTATGT